CATTTGTCCTAACTGGTGATAGCAGGTGGATGGGAAGCACTAAAGAGAGGGGGAGGGAGTGCTGACAGGCTGGGGGGGCTGATCGCCCCTACTGCCCCCCCCCCCCCCCTCTGGATCCGCCACTGGGGATGATGCAACTTCAAGACAAAAATGCGTTGTCATAGCCAGCAACACTGCATGGAAAATGTGAGTTTAAATTTATAGTCGGCAAACAAGGCTATGGCATGTTGAGAACTAAAGCTGGAAGAGTAGGCCGCTGTTCCTGCGCACAAACAAACTCCACGTTAATTGCCCATATTATTTGCCACATTAATTGCCACATTACCACATTAATTGCCATAGCAACGGCACATGCGATAGATATTCGGTCCCGTCGCCAGGCCAACGAGTTACAAACGCGCCTTGCAAGCGAGCGGAGATATTGTGCCCTCTGCTTAACCTCATTGTGAAAAAAGGGGGGGTGTAGCTGTCCGAAAATTTCTTGGCCTTTTACTAACTTGTGCAAAACGCCGTGTACACCACCTTTGCTGAAGTACTACTGTGGCCTGGGGAAAAGTATTTGAGACTTGGAAGCGGCTGATAACACTAGGCGCAGGAGACACCATAGCTTGATTGATTACTCATGCATCTATATGCCACATAATTTTTTTTGTGGGTACTAATACGATTGCTGACGTCTAAAAAGTTACTCGCAATAATTTGGAGCAGTGTATGACATTTCTGCAGCCATAATAAATTGAAAAAAAATTTGGCAGATCCCACATACCTGGGAATCCACATTATGCGAAGCGTGCGGTAGAAAGGTGACCGTGTTGCAATTTTTTTATTGAGCGACACGTCATGAAATGATGTTAAATTAATGTACAAATGTCGCACACACAGACATATGTTGAAGAGTTGCAGATGTTTATATAACCAGTTGTTTGCACTTGCGCAGCGATGCACATGTGAATTCTCAGAGCCTGTCGAAGGACTTGACTGGTGTGGCAAATGCTACTGTGAAATTTATCATTGTTAGCTGAGTGGGGTTGTTCAAAATGCTACTTTTATTGAAATAGTAGTGCACATATTTACTCTGCACGATATAGAGGATGTGGGATGGTTTGCGCATATTTTTTTCTAAATGTAATCCTTTTATTTTCATACTGCTCCAAATTTAGTTTTTCGTGAAAAAAAATAGTGCTTTTTTCTCGTAACCTACTCCAAATTTATGTTTTCGTGCTCTAAAAGTGACATTTCGCTGCTTCGAAAATTGCGTTAAATGCTATATTGTCACGGGACCCGTGACATGGCCGAAGACAGGAGACTTTATGTTGGGATTTAACTGTTTATTTGGGCGAACCTGTGCCCGGTAAACGGAAAGTTCGGTTACAGTAGCGGTCTTGCACAGATAGCAGTGAACGGAGCGTCGGCCGTCGATCAACTACTCACAAGCGGCGAAGCGCGTCGGCATTTATACTCTTGCCGTCGAATGTTCTAGCGTTATCGCTGGCGGTGGCGTAGGTTCCAGAATAATTTGTACAGTTCGCAGAGTAGGCGTGATCTTATCGAAATGATCTACTACAGTCCGGAAGCTTCTCTAAAACTGCAGGCGCAGTTTGCGCTGAGAATTGTGTATTGTTTTGGGACGATAACGAAACTCGGGAAATGGAACGTGGTAATATTGGCTGTTGGACACCTGAAAGGGAAACTAAAGGCGAATATTAGGTCGATGTTGATTGCTAATATAGTGGTTCAGAAACATCGTAGTGCTACTTTTGTGCCAGGGAAATGCTTATTTTGAAATGAAATTCTGTTTTAGTGGTCTGCATCGCGTTAGCGCACTTCAAATCTCCCGCCTGAAAGCGGTCTGTCTCACATCACTGTTGCGTGCCTTTACTGCGCAGCTGCCGACATTAGTAGCAGCAGAGAGAAAGTAGTGGAAGCCACAGCAGCAACAATGGCCATTGAACAATTTTCTGTCATCTTGGAGGCCATGTTCTTGCTTGCATGGTTCAACTGGTCTCCTTTAGATGGCACCACATATTTAGCCTAACCAGACGAAAATAGAATTTTTGAACCTCCCGTAGTGAGGCTAGGCGGTTTCTTTTTTTGTAAGTCAAACAGAAACAGACAAGCAGCATTTTATTATGTCTCTTGATGCACAGAAGGCTTTTTTTTTTATTGTAGCTAGTTTGATTATTAGTGATTACACTCAAACCTCGTTATAACGTAACAGCATATGACAAAATAATGGATGTAACAAAGCAAATGAAATTCCTCTTGAAAGCTCCATTGAGAACCATGCATTTTAAACCTCATTGTAATGAAGTAAGATTGACCGGTTAATAGGTATAACGAACTAAATCATGTCTATCAAATAGTCTATAAAAAAAACCAACCATAGGTGCATTAAGTATATCAATTTCTGCGAAGTTTGACGCTCGTTCGACGCGGCTCTTTCAAAACTACCGCCTCGACCTTACAGTCACGACATGCGCGGCCGAGACAGCTGTCCTCCTCACACAGCCAGCGGAGAGGATTGAGAAAGCGCTCAGCGGGTCACACGACCGAGAAGCGGCGCCGCGGTGCAAAGCCATTTCCCTCTCCGCGCCTTAAAGACGACAGCAACGACTGCATCTCCGCTGCTACCCTTCTGCTAAAAACCTTGCCTTCTGTACCGAGAAGTGAGGACTCTCGGCGACAGCTTTCTTTTTTTCCTCTTTCTCCGTGCTCGGCCCTGAAAAGAGAAGGGTCTCTATGTGCACAGACGGAAAAGAGAGAAGCGTGGCACAGGCGCGTCGCAGATCGGCATTTGAGAGAGAGCAAACAATCTGCCCCATCTTTTCTTTCCTTTTCTTCATTTCCTTCTTCGCCCGCAGCATTGAGAAGTGCTGTCGTAGTTTGGGCATGGAGCTGAGAGCATTTTCAGAGCAGAGCACGGTATGTTCGAATTAACTGTCGCAAGTGCTTGCGCGTTCGAAATGCAGGGGGTTTTCGACCATTGGAATACACATAGCTTTGACGGGACCTCAGCGTGTGTTCGAATCAAGCAGAAGTTTGAATTAAGCGTGTTCGAATTAATGAGGTTCAACTGTGTTTATTTTCCGTTGCACGCGTGGTCGTGTAGTGGTACATCGGGCCGCGAGGTGGTTTCTTTCTTTGCATGCTCATAGGTGTGCGCTCATCTGAGCATACATTGCCAAAACTTATAATTGATATAATGAAATAATGAATATAAAGAAATAATTTTGGCTCCCCTTCAACTTTGTTATAACGAGGTTTGAGTGGATGCCCCACTGTGGTGGTCTAGTGGCTAAGGTGCTCCGCTGCTGACCTGCAGGTCGCGGGATCAAATCCCGGCTGCAACGGCTGCATTCTCGATGGAGGCGAAAATGCTGTAGGCCCGTGTGCTCAGATGTCGGTGCATGGTAAAGAACCCCAGGTGGTCCACATTCCCAGAGCGCTTCACCACGGCATCTGTCATAATCATATGGTGGTTTGGGACGTTGGGACTCCACATATCAATCAATCAATCAATCAATCAATCAATCAATCAATCAATTGTTGTCGGACACTCTGCCGTCATTGGGATCATTTTCGAACTTTCCCACTCGTAGGGCCCATCGTGTGTTACATTTAGCTTAATTTCTTGGTAAGTAGGGCACTGCTGTTGATAATATTTCCATTTTAGACGTCGTACATTGACCTTTCACTGAGACATAAATTGTTACTTGCCTTTAGTGGTCCTTTCAAGTGTCATAGAACCTCGAGTGGTTCAAGCTAATCTAAAACTCACCATATGAATGTACCGAGCTTGCTAGATGGTTCCAGATGTCAAATACAGTCAAACCCTGATATAGCAGACCTGAAGAGGAGCTCTAATGTGGTCTGCATGTAGGCTGTATATGGGTGCTCTGATATATAAAATATTTGATATACCCAAACTATACCCAAGGGGACTTTATGACGGTTTGATAGAAATGGCGGTGTATTATATGTAGATTTGGTGTCGACAGGTTGAACCATGGTAAATAAATCAGCTTATTCTTGTAAGTGCTCATTGTGTAATTACTAGCCCAAGTATATTCACCATGTTGGCTTTCAGTACTACTCAATGAGCCACACATTAAAGAGTAATTGTTTAGCAACATCTATGAAAATCATCTAGGCAAGAGACCTAGTTGTTTGTGCCAATCAAAATGGGTTTCCAAATTCACCTGTTGGAAGCCAGCTTGTTAGGGGCACCCAAGCTGTGAGCATGTTTTGTTCTCTGCCTGTCCTTAATTACAAACGATGAGTGTAGATCACATGCTGGCATGGCACTGCCGCCCAGCTCACCTCGTAAGGGTCACAGGCGTGCCCTGGGCCGCTCTAATGAGCCTTTGCGCTGTATACGACACCTCAATAATGACAGGTTCATCAATATTCATGGCTCCTGAGCAAACTTGCTTCTTTTCTTTCATGAGAAACAAGCTGCTGCTAGGCTTAGGCTGCTCATGGAACGTGCGAGTGTGCCCCACTTCTAAATATCGCGTGGTGTGTTTTGTAATTCTTCTATGCTGCTAAAAGAAAGTGACGCTACTGTAACCCCATCCTTCCTTGTACTAGTGGTCTTGATGTTCGGTGGGAAATCTCGTGCAGTCACTGTGATGGCAATACAAACCTCACGTAGCACCATGTGTTTGCTGTCTGGTCAGTGAGTGTTTGTGTGACACTGTCTTCTGTTGAGAAAAAAAAAAGCCTTGAATGAGGATAGTGACAAGAGCCAATGTTTCAACAAGCTGACTTCTAATTTTTGAGGCAAGAAGGCGTAAAGGTTCCTGCCCCAATGAAGACAAGCATGTTTTGGTAAATGATCTGTTCAAGCTTCCATCTTCTTTTCAACTTCTGCTGTGACTTGCTTTCTTTGTAAAGATGTCTTCTCTTGTTAGAAGGACTAGTGGAGTATGCGAAAAGTTGCTGCTAATTCGCCATTGCTTGAGATTTTTGGCTAAGCCCTTGCATTTTTCACCTCCCAGCCCCTCACATCACCATGACAAAAGCGTACGACTTCAACTGGCAACGTCCTGTGCCTGAAGCCCTGCTCAAGGGCTGCATATTTGATCGTTGGGAAGAGGTGTGTACCCTTTGCTTTTTTTTTTTTTTTGCCTACACAGTGCGTTATGCAGATGCTATCAACTGGGCTTGGCATACCATTAGATTGCTTACATTCAATGGGGCTGGTTGCCGAGCTAGTGATAGGTCCATATTCAAAAGAAAAAACAGACCCGGTGCAGAGAGTACAGAGATCAAGTGAAGGAACGAACTGGGAGACATGGGCTTCTACTGTTTATTCACAGAAACCACACCCATTTTTAAAGGCTATCATCAGCTACTGAAACAGAGTTGGAGCATGCGCTGGAAACTACACTGAACCGAACTCTAAGAATCTGTTAGGGAGCACCGCTTGGTGGTCAGCATAACATGGGTGAACACTTGGCAGACCACTGCAAATACTGCGGTTGCGTGCCACTCTAGCAAAACTATGCTTCTAAGGAGCGTACTCAAAGAGAGACAATTGAGTTGTGCTGACTAAAAGGGCAAGTAGCCAGTGCGTTAGTGCCCCATCACTAGATTTCAGCGACAGAGAAGTGACACTTTAGGTAGGTAGCCTTTATTAATGTTAAGTTTGAATTCTGCATGGCCAATTTTGCTGGACACTGGTGTTGACACTTGTTATGTTCAGCAACATGTTCTTTCAATGCGGTACAGTGTAGTAGCACATGCTCTGCCACTGTTTTAGTGGCTCATGACAATTTGCTGGTGTTGCATTGTGGTATGAGATCACCTCGTTTTTGACAGCCTTTACAAATTGGCACGGTTTTTAGGAATGAGTTGGCACCCATGTCTGTTATTTCGTTTTTTCACCTCGTCCTCATACTGTATGCATTCTTTTATCTTTGGCTAACAGTTACTTAGACATCATTGTTATGCTGTCATTGTTATACGAAATGTGTTGATTGCACATGTGGTTATGATGTGGTACAGTACTTATGGTGCATGCCACCTTTTCATGGTGATAAGGTTAGGAAAATGCTGAATAAGTCTAAGGTTTGTTTATGAAATGCAATAAAGTGCCAGAAAGGTAAGGAGGGCAAAAACAAGTATAAGTTTGTTTTATAAATATAGGGCTTAGTCAGAAATTTCATGTCACCTTCGTTATTGTGTACTCACCTGCCCACTTGCTTTGTCCGCAGGAGAAGGAACAAGTAGTCTACGAACCTAACGCCTTGTTTCGAGTCGACGAATATGGATTTTTCATCTATTGGAACAGCGACGGTAGGGTGGGTACACACTCTTATGTATTTTAGTTGAGGTGCAGCTTCTAAGCGCCTGTTCATGTGTCTTGCGTTGTGTAATCAAGCCAATACTTGTTCCTGGGGAGAAGGACTGTAAAAAAGCTAATGCACTGAGCAGAGAGTAGAATGAATGTTGACAAAGAGAGGCAGGGGAGAAAACTGGCATTTAGGCTGTAATAGAAGCTCAGAGGATTCACAGTTTAGGCTAACAGCTGGACATCAGTCTTGCTATCTAGAACTACATTTTTTTTTTGTCCAATGGGAACTTGGAACGTGAACACCATTAAGCTATCACCATGAGCTCTTACGTGGTTCTGAGCATATAAATAGGTAAAATCCTTTCGATGGACTGAGTTGTTGCAAGTTCAGCACTGCAGTGGTGGTCTTCCTGCATGTCTACATTGTGATTGTGTGCTGGTTTCCTTGACGGTGTTCTGCTAACAGGCTCAATTTTGAATATCTCTGAAAACTGTCATCCGAGTGTATGGCCCATGTTTTTAAACATGTTGCTGTGCATGCATGCGCTACGTTGCCTACTTGGGGCTTAAACAGTTCAGGGCCGCTATTTTTGTTGCGGCAGATTTTTCACATTAGTATTCCTTTACCACTTATTCTTGCCCATTGCTGCATTATTATCAGTTGGCCATGGATAACCTATAACAGTGGCCCTCAACTGAGCGTAAGGCAAGGCTACATAATTGTGGCCATTCTCATGCTGTTACTACATATGCACTGTAGTGAGCACATGTGCTGTTTCTTAAACCCCAGGGGCTGACCATTCTGCAAATGATTGCTGCAGTGAATGGCAGTCACTTCCCTCCCTGCCTTTGTTAGGTGCAGATATAAAACTGGAAGTTTTTGTCAATGCTTGAAACTAAACTTGGCTGATGCTGGATGTGTAGAATGAAACTCTCATGACATATTGTGCAAACTACAACATTCATAAGGATGTCTCACACCGTACAACATAGTTCCCATTCCTGAACACGTAATTTTCTTTTTCTGGGCTTTTTTTTCTCTCCAAGATATTCTAGAAACTGTGCCATTTTCCACCAAGAAATATACATTTTTTGAATTTTTGCCATTTGTCTTCTATAGATGCTTATTGTTTGGTTCGATACGTCGAGTACTTTACCTTTTTTTCTTTTCTTCTATCATGTGAGGTCACAAGGTACACCTGTGGTGCATTCCCAGGTGACGCTGAGTTTTATGGTCTCTCTAGACTGATGCGGGTGAATTACAACATAGGAGTAACCAAATAAAATGTTAATGATTGTGGAGAACAGTTTCTTGGCCTAGTTGGTATAGCTTAGTGTATGAACTTTTGCCGTTAGTAAAAACAACACACGCAAGAAAGACACGAACACAGTGACATTGGTGCCACTTTCAACTGATTTATTTCGAGCATGAAACAGAGTGTACAGTTAGCCAAAACTTCAACTGTTGCACACGGCGGCCAATTTCTTGTTTCTGAGCACCATACTATGGAATGAAGTTACAAAAAACTGCTTCGTAACATGCGCTTTGTGGGCGTATGCTTGTCCTCACCTTTTTTGAAGCTTTATTCAGTCGTATGGCAAAAATACACAGAAGAAAATGCCACTCATGCACGATAGTTAAAGATTTGGCCCACTCTACATGTACGTGTGACTTACATTCGTGCAGAGTGGCCAACAACTCTGCCTAACCTAGCCAGCTCTAAAAAAAAAAAATCTAATCCCTGAAGACTACAGCTGTATGAACATGTCACTAGTACAGTAAGCACCCAAACTTAGTTATGTGAAAGGCTTCTAATAACTCGCATGCTGCCTGATGCTTGCTCTTACCTACAATCCTGACTTCATGGTCATCATTTTTGTCTTTCTTGTGTCTTTACTAGCAGAAAAATTTTCTGCAATAAATGTTAGAAGCAAAAGCGCATCAGGAAGGGTAATAACAAAAAAATTAAATGACTCCCGTTCCAGCACTGAAAGTGGCACATCCTGAACAAGAGCGGATTGTGCATGACCTTTGCTGCTGTATGGAAGCTGCAAGGCTTATCCTGCGCTGTGCCATAATGCTTGTGTAACCTCTGTCGATACATTCGGATGTTAACATCATCAGGCTGTGCATTGGTAATGATGAAGTGCAAGTCAGTGGTGTAATGTGGCCAATGCATACCTGCCCTGCCAACTTTTTCGATTTTTCCGTAAAATGTACGAATTTCAACCGCACTTAATATTTTACAAATCTTGCCTGAAATTTTACGAAAATTATTTCATTTCCGATAAAAAAAAATAAAATTAGTAAAATAGCGTGGTCTCCACGATTGGCTACAATGCATTGCTGTTGCTATTCATGGAGGCCACAAAAACAGCGTTGTGCTATGTTTTGCCACCAAGAGAGAATAGTATGTATTGGTGTTATCATCAGCTGCCAAGTCTCCCGCATTGTCCGGGAGACTTCCGGATTTTGACTGTTTCTCTTGTTTGTAACGTTGCTATGAAAATTTCTCGGAAATTTTAATTTCTGTGCGAGATCTGGCCCCATTGTCAAAAAATGCAGGTCAGTCCATTTTACGCTTTTTGCGAGCCCACCGCATTTTGTTTTAAAGGAACTTGAGAGGCGTTCATCGAAACGTGCAGTAGAGTCTCAGTGGTGTGAAATCGCGGCAGATACGAGTTCATGAAATTCCCCAGCCGAATTTATGTTTGCATTGGTCCATAATTTGAATTTTTCGAACACTTTTTATGATCACGGCGTGTAATATGAACTTCAGTATCGAAACTGTCAAACCAAGGCCGATCGCGAGCAGGGAGCTTGGAGCTTTGGGAGTACGTGTGCCAGCACACGCACTGTCTTGTACAATGCGTGTTGTTGTCGTTGTTAGAACCGCTGTGGATGAAACTGCAATCGCTCAACATGATTATGTATGGCGATGACGTTACTGACAGATTTCCGAAAGTGTGCGCGCGGCCAATGCTCGACCATTCAAAGCAACGCTGCTTTCCGCAAAGTCTGTGGACAGAACCGTGGCAGTTGTGATCATAGATAGTATAAAATGACCTGGTAGCTTTGAAGGCACATGGATAGAAAACAAAACTACAATTTGTCGCAACCGCCGCACACAGAACCTTGACGATGTGATAGCGATCTACGAGCGCCGAGGGCACGTGGCTGAAACAGTGGTAGATTGAAGGCAGTAAAGAACTAAAAAAGGCTAGAAGTGTTTTGGCGTTCCTGTCCAGTCTAGTAGTGAGCAAAGCCAAAGCCATTGACCTGCGCTTTCGCGGCAGCCAGCTGCGCTGCCCCGTCCATTCACGTGTGAAGACATGTAGTATCAGTTGTTTTGACGAAAATCGATTTTTTTTTTTGCTAGTTGTTTTGATGACGCGAAATTTCGGGAGCATTTGCGCTCCCCCTTTAAGACTCTCACCTTAGTGGGAAGGCCTACCCTCGTGTGTTTGGCCACTCCAAGCTATTATGATTTGCAACCCTGATGGTTGCATTTGTGACCCCCCCCCTGCCCTCTTGTTTTTGTGATTTTTTGTTCTTTTGGGCCCAAAAATGGCGGAAAATAATTCAGCGCGTCGATTCGACTTATGGGGGCAAAACATGACTATGCTTGTCGATACAGGCAAATTCATCGCAGCTACAAATAAAAAAAGTCGGTAACCCTCCCTCCCCCCTTTTCCGCTTGGGGGTTTTAGGAATTTCTCGGTTGCCAGGTTTCCAGGTATGCCAATGGCATAATTTATTTGTCTTCAAGAGGGCTTCACTACAGTTATTTTACTTTAGGACTCTAACCTGTATATTTGTATTGTATTACTTCTTTTGAAAGCACTAAAACTGCATTGAATTGAATTGAAAAGTGTGTTGAATTGGCTTTATGTTATAACAATTTTTCTTTTTTCCCAAATTGTGGCTGAATATTTACAAAAAAGGGAAGGATCCCTGCATAGAATAGCACGGTCTCCGCTTGCCTTGTTCCAAACCTTCGATGTGATCTGTATCTGTCTGGATGACTAGTTTGATGGTTTCAGTTTCGGAAAGGCTTCATAAATGTGCCGAAAACTAAAATGTCTGTTCAGATTCATCTTCAAATTAGCATGCAATTGGGATTACGGAGTCAGAGTTATTGTAGTTGGTGCCACTTAAATCATATGATGTTGACCAAGATAGGGCCACTATTTAACATGCATGTTAAACTCTCTACTAGTGGTATACAGCCCACACGAATCGCAAGTCGAACCTTTCAGCTCTACAGCTTTGCTTGGTTTGTGCGACTTTTTTTTTGCCTTGGTTGGGGCTCTTGGCAATTACTAATGGCATTAACTTTGATTCTGAGGATGTGCCAGTGAGGTGGCTGATGATCATGCGGCTGCCATACGAAAATCGAAGGATGTTCCTTCTCCTGCACAACTCAGTGCAGCCGAGTTGTGCAGGAAATTCCTTGATTTTACGCGAGAAATAGACGAAGTGCTTGCAGACTTACTCAGAGGTCTTCATGGACAATGCATTCCAAACACCGCTCGCAACCCAAGACACACAATGGCGACACAAACTGCCACAATTGTAGCATAAAAGCACTTCCAATGATGAGTGAACACAACTGCTTGAAGAAACAAACACAGACCATCAGTGGCCTTATTTTTGCTGACTTCGTTGGCTTAGGCAAAGTCTTGAATACAGATCTCGAAGCCTATGCTTTTGCTTGTGTGACCCAGAAAATTGTCGTGGGTATCTTGCATTGAGCTTAACGTGGAATCATTATGCGGCAAAATTTGATGGCACATATCAGGCACAGGCACTTAGAGATTGGTCTGCTAAGCAGCATTGGAGGGAATTTGAGCTGGCTAGTGTTGCATGAAAATTTTAAATTAGCAGTGAAAAGTTGCAGAAGGCACTTGCTAAAAGGGGGGTGCCTGCTAGTCTTAGAAAGGCGAGTCGGGCTAGTTGATACGTACTAACTCCAACCATAACTAGTCAAGTCCATCCTGTCTGTA